CAGGCTGGAGTGCAGTGGCATGCTCACAGCCACCGCAGCCTCGACCTGCTGGGCTCCGGCCATCCTTCTGCCTCAGCCTTCCAAGTAGTGGGAACTACAGGTGCGCGCTACCACGCCTGGTTAATTTTTTCATTTATTGTGGAGACGAGGTCTCGCCAAGTTGCCCAGGCAGGTCTCGAACCCATGGGCTCAGGTAATCCTCTCGCCTCGGCCCCCCAAAGTGCTAGGATGACAGGCCTGAGTCATCATGCCTGGCCGGGTGTGGGGCTTCTGGGGACCACATTAAGTCTCCTCCACAATTCAACTGAGAAGCTGCTAAGGAAGAGATTCAGTCATCTCAAGCTGGGCGTCTACTTCAATGAGAGCTCCCTTTCGTCAATAGTGCTTAAAAAAGTCAAAACAAGCCCCAGGCTCGGTGGCTCAGCCTATAATCCCGCACCTTGGGAGGCTGAGGTGAGTGGAATGCCTGAGCCCGCGGGTTCAAGACCCCCCTGGGCAACTTGGCGAGACCTCATCTCTACAATAAATCAAAAATCAGCTGGGTGTGGTAGCGTGCGCCTGTAGTTCCAGCTACCTGGAAGGCTGAGGCAGAAGGATCGCCGGAGCCCAGCTGGTCGAGGCTGCGGTGGCCGGGAGCGCACTGCACTCCAGTCTGGGTGACAGAGTGAGACTCCAACTCAAAAAAAAAAAAAGTCAAAACACCCTACAAATCGTGTTGTGTGGGAAATCAAAAAACTCCTGCTTTCCTTCAGAGTGAACAGGGAAGCTGGAGAAGCAGGCCAAGTAAATAACCACGCATGGAAGGAAGTCTGCACGAAGCCCACGAACGCTGCATATGAGCCGCCTCCAGCATCTGGCCCTTCCCCAGGCTGCAAACGCTCCACCTGCCATGGGACACAGACGGCGCACCCTCTGTCACTGGGACAGTGAGCTCATGACCGAACAAAAGAGGTGGCTGCATGTGACTCCAGCAGGCTTGCCAGTGCCCTGTGATTCCAACACTATGGAAGCCAGTGGGTCTTGGTTCCTTCTCTTTTACCAGGACGCGACTGCCTTTGTAGAAATCCTTATTCTCTGCTAGAGAGTGCTGGGTTATTTATAGAACCTGTAAGAAAGCCACTACAAATAGCTTAGACTCTCAACTGAGGAAGAGGGACACAACTTCATGTCTGCCCTTAACTCTGATTTCACCAGACCGTTTGATCCCACAGCCAGCTGGATTTAGAAAAGTTTGTGGCTGGGCGCAGTGGCTCATGCCTGTACTCCAGGATTTTGGGAGACTGAGGTGGGAGGATCGCTTGAGCCAAGAGGTCGAGACCAGCTGGGGCAACAAAGCGAGACCTCATCTCTATAAAAAACACAAAAAAGTTAGTTAGATGTGATGGCACACACCTGTAGTCCCAGCTACTCAGAGGGCTGAGGCGGAAGAATGGCTTAAGCCTCAGAGGTCAAGACTACGGTGGACGTGACTGTGCCACTGCCCTCCAGTCTAGGCAACACAATGCTACTCTCACTCAAGAAAAATTAAAAAAGAGCCGGGCTCAGTGGCTCAGCCTGTAATCCCGCGCTTTGGGAGGCCGAGGTGAGTAAATTGCCTGACCCCGCGGGTTCGAGACCCACTTGGGCAACTTGACGAGACCTCATCTCTACAATAAATAAAAAAACCAGCCGGGCGTGGTAGCACGCGCCTGTAGTTCCAGCTACTCGGAAGGCTGAGGCAGAAGGATCGCCGGAGCCCAGCAGGTCGAGACTGCAGTGGCCGGGAGCGGCCACTGCACTCCAGTCTGGGTGACAAAGTGAGACTCCAACTCAAAAAAAAAACCAAAAAAACAAAAGAAAGAAGAGTTTGTGGTGGGGAGGAAAGAAAAAGGTAGAGACCCATGGAAGGAACCCATGATAGCAAAGAACCCCAGCATGGGTGGGAGCGGCCACAGGCCCCATTCTGCTCTGGTTCCTGATTTCCAGCCCTGCCCCTCCCACAGCCAGGTCCACCCAGCCAGGTCCATCCAGCAACAAACAGCTCTGTCCCCTGCGTCCCACAGCCCTCTTTCTGACCAGTCTCCCAGGAGGCGTGTCACACTTAAAACTCCAACCGCAGGGAATCACCAAGTCAGACAACATGAACTTCGCCCCAAGCACAGGGTGTCTGTTCTGCCGCTCAGAGACCAGACGAGTATGTGGGAAAGCATCACATTTTACGCTGAAAAAAAGACGTTTTCCAAGGTCTCCGGGCTCGCCCTAAGTGCACTTCTAGAATATCTGGCTTCTCTCTGTAGGGCAGGACTGGAGTAGCCCTGGGCACAGCTTCTATCTCTTGGTTTTGCTCCTTTGATCCTCATCTAAGTCTCAGCTTTCAGCCAAAATGTCCCTGCTGCCTAGGGACCCCAAGCCAAAGAGTCCCTCTTCCACTTGCAAGGCAACCCCCAAGTTACCCTGGGTCACAGCCTGGCCAGGCAGCCAGGATCAGTAGCCCTGCTACAAGCCTTGTGGATCCCATGTGAGGACAGAAAGAAATTTCAGGACTTTTTTTTTTTTTTTTTTTGGAGTTGGGGGGGTCTCACTCTGTCACCCAGGTTGGAGTACGGTGGCATGATCATGGCACCCCACAGCCTCAAACTCCTGGGTTGAAGTGATCCTCCCACCTCAGCTTCCCAAGTTGCTGGGACTACAGGCACACACCACCACATCCAGTTAATTTTGTTATTATTTTATTTTATTTTAATTTTTTTGAGTTGGAGTCTCGCTTTGCCACCCAGGCTGGAGAGGAGTGGCATGCCTCTCGGCCACTGCAGCCTCAACCTGCTGGGCTCCGGTGATCATTCTACCTCAGCCTTCCAAGTAGCCGGAACTACAGGCACACGCTACCATGTCTGGCTAAGTTTTGATTTATTGTAGAGAAGAGGTCTCGCAAAGTTGCCCAGGCTGGTCTTGAACCCGTGGGCTCAGACAATCCCACCTGCCTCAGCCTCCCAAAGTGCTGGGATTGCAGGTTGAGCCATCGAGCCTGGCCTACTTTTTATTTTTTAGAGAAGAGATTTTCCCATGTTGCCCAGGCTGGTCTTCAATTCCTGGGTTCAAGTGATCCTCCTGTCTCAGCCTCCCAAAGTGCTAGAGATTACAGGCATGAGCCACCACGCCCAGCCTAGATCTTCATTTTGCAAACCCCTCCGAATTTTAGAAAGTACCAACACTGACCTGCTCCCTCTTACGTTTATCTGCATCTAGGCAGCACTTCTAATGTCACAAGGTGCTGTGCAACCCTCTGTATGCATCACTGTGGGCAGACCCATCTCTAAAGACAAGCCTGGTTAACAAGTTTGCAGCAGGCAGAAAAAACTGCCCAAGCCCATCTCAACCCTTCACATGTGCTGCCAAACCTTCCAGACACAACTCTATCCTCTACAGTCACTTGGTGACATAAAAATGGCTGCCCAACAGCCAGAATACCACAAGAAGAAGGGTGCAGTCTCCTGGGGAGGGCAGGACCCTGAGTCCTTGGTGACGGTGGAGCCAGATATCGGCACAAGCTTTTTTAAGTGGGGGGGGCAGGGTGGAACCACCTAAACTTCTACCTTGGGTAAGCGATGGCTATTTTGGGTGGCCTCCTACAGGCAGCCGAAACAAACCCCGACTGACTCAGCGTGCAAGCAGAACAGCTGCCTGAATCCGTGTGAGGATTTGAACTCCCCGCCGGACAGAGCCAGGCGCCCTCTGCCCGCGACGCAGCGGACACGACGGCACCGGGAGCCCGTGACTGCGCCTACACGGGCGGCCGCCC